CCCCAAAACCCCAAAACCCCAAAACCCCAAAACCCCAAAACCCCAAAACCCCTCAAATATTCAAAATTATTGAACTTTGGTTTAAACTTTTATCTATTCTCAGACCTCTAGATAGCCTTATTGCTTTTATTCTTAACACGGAGATCGAGCTTCATAATTTTAGGAGGGATTTTACGTTGATTGGCACTGTCATTTGAAGGTTTGCGTAAGAAAACTAAGTTATTTCTATGATATTTTTAAAGATTCTTAAAATACCTCACCCTCATATTTTGTTTCAACTTGTTAAGTGAATGCGAGTTTTGATCTTTCTATAATATTGGGACTGGAGATACCTTCAGAGGAGGATATTCATATGAACTTCTTAGAATTGGGGTGGTCGACTGGACATTCTCATTTATATTCCTAATATTTAGACTATAAACCTACCTTGGAGCTCGCCCTTCATGATCAATTGTTCTATGTTTTTGAGAGGAATAAGGCCTTGTATCGAAAGAAGGATTATCACTGAGCTTCAGTCGTGAAATCTTAGCCTGAATTTTAGTAATCTTCTCCAATTTCATGATCTGAGTTGATTGTTTACGGATAGTAATATCCCTGGAACTCATGTCAATACGAAGAGATGATACCATTTTGCGCATCATTTCATTCTCTTCAGTCAATTCACGAATTTTCTTTTGAAATTCGATCAACTTTGTAGGTCTGATTTTATGGAATTTATGGGTTTGCTCCTTTTCTATAAAATATTAAATCCCATTCAGAAAAATAGAGGTCAATCTTCTTGAGAAAGCAGTATAATTCGAAAGCAAATATTTTCACTTACTAAGAGCATTGATATATTTGATCTTGACCTCTTCAAACTGCTTCTGAATGTCAAAGGTAGAGGCCTCTAAATCTCCGATGACCTTGTCCTTGTACTTATATTTGCTCTTGATCTTTCTGACTAACTTGTTTGTTTTCTCCTCTAATTTGTAAGTAAGGGAATACCTTGGATTTCAAGAGCCTTTTCAAGTTCAGTCTTATACTCAATGAGCTTATTTTATGTCCTGTTCCATCTGTGTAATTTTGGTAGTGTAGATATGCTTTCATTGCCTAAAGTTTAGTTCCAGGAGCTACATTTTAATATCTTTTTCTATAGTTTGTCTGATCCTTTTCTAGAAGTGAGAAAGGAATATACCTCAGTTTCTTCTTGATCTTCATCTGCTATAATATTCAGGTTTAGGTGCACGAGCTGGTTCATCTGTGTATTATCTCTAAAGATGTAAATTTCAGGTACTCATCATTGCAAGTACAGTTGTGAACTTGCTCTTCCAGGTTCTTAATCTACAAGATCAAACATAACTCATACTTGGGATAACAAATCAGCTTGCGCTTTGGCTTGGATGTCTAAAACTAACGCATTGCTCTACCTTGGTACTCCTCATAATTCTGTAGCAAATGTTGAACGCGGTTTCTCAGTTTGCCGATTTCGGTGTCCTTGCTATCGATCACACTGGCTAGGGCCTTATTAGCTGTTCTGAGTGCATCCATTTTTTATAATAAAAGTTTAGGGGTTTTGGGGTTTTGGGGTTTTGGGG